TGGAAACAGTGGATGGAAAACAAAGAGAAACGTGAGAAATATGAAAGCAGTTGGACTGGCAAGATTGGTGTTCTGTTGGATGTGGCTCTGATGGAGGGATGACTTGCAGGTCTCGGTCTGGTCAACCGTGGCAACAGGGGTGATAGGACCAGCTCCATGGGGTCACACAGGTCTCGCATGCATAAGGGCCCCACACTTGGCTTAATGCTCTGTTGTCAGGGTCTTAAAATTCTTAACAATTTAGAACAAGGGAACTTGCATTTTAATTCATCACTGGGACCCTCAAATTACATTGTAATTCTGAGAGATACCATTCACTAAGACATGGAGTCTAAGAGGAAGTCTAAGAGGAAGATGAATTTAGTTCCTGTTGTGAAAGAATAAGTGCTAAGTACAACTTAGACCTGTCCCAAAGCAGTGAGCTTTCTGCTCAAGGCCTTCAGTTTGTGGCTTGAGATTCTATAAGCCTTTATCCATGCCTTAGCAGGCAATACTTCGCAATTGTCTGATGAGCTGAGATGTTTCATGTAAAGCATCTCTAGAGCCATCAAGGGGAAATGGCCAGCAGATGGGAGGATATATGGGTCCGGAGATCAGGAAACAGAGTGGCATCAGCCTTGAGAAGACTACTGACCTTGTTGAATGAACAGAATCACCCAGGGAGGAGGGAACAAAGGAAGAAGAGGGGAAAGTCAAAGCCTGAACCATGGAGATGACCAATAATAAACTATAACCAGAAAAACAGAAAAGAATAAGTAGAGAAAGGAAGCCATGCTTCTGTGGATAGGAGCAATGACTGCAAAGTGAGAATGTTTAGACTCCAGTCCTGGCTTTAACTTACCTTTGCTGAGGTGCTGCAGTGTCCTCACCTGAGTAAGGGGAATAATAGTAACATCTAACACACGGGGCTGTAGTAAAGGTTAAATGAAATGCTCCATGGAAAATGCTTACCACAGGACTCGGCACAAAAGAAAATTCAGAGATAATTAGCTATTACTTCTCCTTCTCCTTCTCCTTCTCCTTCTCCTTCTCCTTCTTCTCATCATTATTATTAAGTGCAATAAAATGAGGAGAAATAAATGACATGGGAGACGGCAAGAAGAGAGTTAAAAAAAATGAAAGAGTAGGCTGCAATGCCAAATGCCTGAGCGGTCAACCAAAGAAAGGACTCAAAAGTCCCCATTCAATGTAAAAACAAAGAAATAATCAGTGAGTTGGGCAAGAACACTCTCATTGTCCCAGTACTGTTTAGGCTGATTGCTTCTAACCATTCAGATTTAGGACTTTATTAATTTAGAAACTGAAGCTAAGTTTATCTGATGTTGCTATCAGCAAACACGTACGTGGTGTTCTAAAAATTTCCACTGTGAATATGTTTTCTTCCTCTTCTAATTTCTCCCTGCCCATTTCCAAAGGCCCTAATACCCAACCTAAAAGACATGGAACCCTTATTGTATACTGATTCTAATGTAATTTGTGGAAAAGCTGATTATGGAGCCAAAGACTCTAAAACTGCCAGCTCTACTATTAGGAAAGGAAGTTTCTGGGCACAATGATATTTAACCAACTTGCTCTTGATAAAAAAGAAAAATGCAAGGCAGGATGTGGCCCTATGTTCCTTACTGGAGAGTAAATTTCTGGGACTGGTAGTAAAGTGCTTCAGCAGAAGTGGGTACAAAGTTCTACCTGACACGAAGACCCCACTTCTAACAATACAGGGTCCATAAGGAGATATCAAGAGATCATTAATTCAACAAATATTTACTGAGCCCCAGATGCAGGACTGAATGTGCAAAGAAAATACAAATTTGGGTTTGAAATAGGTTCTGTTTTCAAGAAGTTTATAAAAGACAAGGTGAATACATTAGTAACATTCCAAGGAGGTAGAACTTAAATGTGATAGGAAAGAGATACAAACTGATGATAGAATTTTGCAGCAAGGGAGCACAATTCTGAAAAAGTGTTCATGAAAGTATTAGTTTTAAAAAAGAGTTTCTGTTAGGAACATTCAAAATCTTCCTTTCTAGCAATTTTGAAACATTTATTACATTACTGATAACTAAAGTCATCCTACTGTGTTATAAATACTAGAACTCATGCCTGCTGTCCAAGCGTAATTTTCTGCCCCTTAGCCAACCACTGTCTATCCCTCCTCCCTCACCCTTCCCAGCCTCTGGTAACCACTCTTCTACTCTCTGCTTTCCAATGCAAAGAAACAATAAATATTTGAGGTGATGAAAATGCCAATGATCCTGATTTGTTCATTACACATTATATGCATGTATAGCGATATCACATGCACTCCATAAAGACAAGTATGTACCATTATCATATATCAATTATAAAGAAAAGTTTAAAAAAAAACTTTAAAAGGGTAAGTGGAGTTTAGACATTGTGACCGTCAAGAAATTATTTTGGAAAGGGGATATATTATCAATTAACAGACAAAAGTTAGCAAATACTGGTTGTTTCAGGAGCGGCAATCATTTCTGAGGACTTGAGCAAGAATCTTGTGGACAGCTAGAAAGGTGCTTAGGAGTGAATCATGGACATCCTTGAATGCCAGGCCAAGACAATTTGAACTTTATTTCATTGACAGTGAGGGGTTCTTGAAAGTTTTTATGGGAGGACCTGAGATAGTTACAGACTCACAAATAGCATGGGATCAAGTTCACACATTACCTTGCTAACAAGAAAAGTAAAGAATGAATATGAGGATTTGGGAACCTGAGATAGAAATGATAGTTAGGATCAGATGGAAATACATAAGAAACACTGAGGTAGAGAAATGGTGGTAACAATGCTAAAAATGTCTCTGTGTTTAGGGATGAAATAGAAAAAGGAGTCAGCTACTGCAACAGAAAAGATACAGTCAGAAAGTAGAAAAAAAAATCAGAAATATGTGATGTGAAGAAAGGACTTCCAGAATAAGAAAAAACAAAATTAACATTCACTGCTACATGTTAGGAGCTTCACTTACAGTTTCTCATTAATTCATCACATACTCTCTCTCGGATAAATATTGCTTATTCCCTTATGTGGAAACAGGGGCTCAGAATTTTAAGCTACTTATTGGAAAATGATACAGCTAACAGATGATAGAACAGAGATCCACACTCTGGTAAGTCCTGAGGGAACAGGAAGAAAGTCCCAGACCAATTCTGATGCCAACTCCCAGGATGGCACTTGACATGCCATCTCATTCCCATAAATCTTGTGTTATTCATATGTTTAATGAGGGTGTTGAACTATATAATGTATTACATAATGATTCTTTCAGTTCTATTATTTTATGATTCTATGGTTATTTATATTACAGTAAATTCTTGAGAGGTGGCAGAGGGAATAGATGAAAAATCATATGACTGGCATAAAAAATAATTGGGCCATCCTTTTTATCTGAGTTTGAAGACAAGGACAAGAGGATGATTCAATATACAAAGTTTGAGAAATTTCATTTAGAAAGCTTCAGACACTAAACTTTGAGTTTGATTAGATATTGCACTGAAGGGAAGTGGATAATTTTGTATGATAAAAACTCTTAACAAATTAGGTATAGAAGAAACATACTTCAATGCAATGAGGGCCATAACATCATACTGAATAGGGAACAGTTGAAAGCCTTTTCTCTAAGAACTGGAGCGAGACAAAAATGCTGCCTCTCACCACTCTTATTCAACATAGCACTGGAAGTCCTAGCCAGGCCAATCAGGCAAGGGAAGTGGATAATTGAGAATGGCTCTCAGGTGTCTCAGAATGTACTATAAATCAGTTAGGTTGCTTTGGCACACAGTCTTTAAAACCGAAACTTCTATGGGAACTGTTAAATGAGTTATCAGGGCACTTCCTGCTTTTAGCTTTTGTAAGTACCTTAGAAAAAGGAAGGAAAGAGAGATGTGTATGGAAAAGTTAACATCCAGAAGAAATTGTTTACAACATTATGACCTAAGTTCAGGGTCTACTGAGCAAAGGGCAGGGTCTTTAGATTCTCCCTAGTGTAAATCTATGACCTGGACATTACTGTGCCAGGCTCCCCACTAGTGCATATTCAAACTGTGATGGCAGCTTTGACACACAGGCTGGCAACCTGATCCAGCGAGCAGAACAATGGATTGAAAATTTAGATACATAAGCTCTACTCCTTACTCTGCCTATAATTAGTAGAGTGATGCTGAACAGGATTATTTACATGTGTGTGCTTCGGTTTACTAATCTGCAAACGCTGGTAGTGTCTACTCTGTAAGTAAACCATTATCTTAGTGATAGGTTCTCAAAAGTTGTTTAATAAAAGTAGAGGGCTAAATCAAGTAATCTCTTTAGGCTATTTCAAGTTTTTTGCCTCATTTATTAAACTTAAAAATATATATCCTCACTTAATGTGATCAAATATTTCAAAAAATAAGTATTATTTCTTAAAATAAATGGAAACAAGCATAATCTTAGACAATACTGCTCAGTTACATCTAAAACTCTTCTATTCTTCTAACAGGTCTTTAGAGGCTTCCTCCTTACCCTCCTCACCATTGACTGCTGAAACAACTGTCTGAATGCAACTTCTAGTTTTAATAGTTTATTCCTTTTGGAGTAACTTTGACCTAGTTGTCAAAATTCATGATGGACCAAGGTTCCTGTCAGGGTAAGGGTTTGATCAGCTATAACCACAGGTTTACTTCCTATTTTCCAAAGTAAAACGAATTTGTCTCTGGATTTAAAATCTATCTTTTTCATATTGTGAGTGTGTGAAAGAAAAGGAGAGTTTTTTGTTTAAGTTGGTCGTATTTGTTTGTTTTAGTCAGCAGTCTTTACTTATTTACTCAGCCTAGTCTCAGAGAAAGTCCATGGTCATCTGGAATTCAACCTCAGGGCAAGGTTCTTCCCTGTGTCCGAGACACTGAAAAACCAATTGCAGCCAAAAGACAAGGTTTCGAAGTTCCCATAACCTGGAACTTCGATATATTTAGAGCAGTTGTCTCTTCACTGGCAGCTTCTGTACAGATACTTCAAACAAAATAATGGAACCTCAAAGACAGAATGTGAAGATGATGCCGTTGTCTTTAGAAAGTTATCACATTTCTGAAGAGTATGGCTTTCTTCTTCCAAATCCTCTGGTAAGAATGGAACCTTGAACCAGGTCAGAGTAAGTTTCTTGAAATACTGGTTTGTTTGTTTTGAAATGTATGTGGTTACTAAGAGAAATGCAAAATAAATATGAAGCCATCATCTGAGATAGAGGCTACACATAACATAGAATATAATTACCAACAAAAGAGAAGTGACAGCTACAGCAGAGAGTAGTTCAGATGGAAAGATTTTGTGCAACTTTTTTTTTACTAGATTGTTAGGCAAGGAAAATTATAAGTCAATTTGTAGTTATCAAGGAAAAGAATGGACTTAGATAGAGATAAATTATGCAGACTAATATAAAGTCTCAGCAATAGCAGCACAGTACTTCCAAGGTATGTTCTACAATGTGATGTAAGGTAGTAACAAGATGCAGTTTCCTTGAAGAGAAAATAACTGGAATTTTTCTGTTGCGTATTCCATCCTTCTCCTCTAAGAGGGACAACTCATAAACTCTTCTGGGTCAACACTGCTGACATTTTTATGTGAATTCATTTACCTTAAATTGCTAAATGGGAGAGAAAAAAGAGAACATGTGGGACTTCGGGTGCTTTCAGGGTTTACCAGAATTTCTGAAAAGAGGAAGAAACACTTGATAACAAGCAGTACCTCTTTCTTACTTCTACTTAGGGCTTAACCTGTGATGAAAATCTGTTTCATCATCTATCCCTTATCAAAACTGTTCATCTCATTGAAGAGTGTCCAAATTCTCGAATCCTAAAACTGTATGATTTCTTATAAATCATCTGGTCTCAACCCTCTCTTTTTACATGTGGGCTAGCTTCAGTGCAGAGAAAATGATGGGCCAAAATCATATGAGTAGCAAAAGCAGAACTCAGTATTAACTCAAGACTCTTGGCATCTTTTCTTTTCATTATATCTGAAATAAGGACCAAGTCCACGAAGTTAAAAATCTAGGGATCTAATGTAATTGCAGTTACTTATTAGAAACTCCCTCCCACCCCAGCCTAACTTGCCGCTTCACTATGATTAAAGAATAGTCGTCAACATTTTGGGAGGCTGAAGCAGAAGAACTGCTTGAGTGTCAGGAGCTCAGGACCAGCCAGGGCAACATAACGAGACCCTGCCTCTATAAAAAATAAAATAAAATAAAATAAAAACTAGCCAGGCATGGTGGTACATGCCCATAGTCGCATCTACTCAGGAAGTTGAAATGGAAGGATTGCATAAGCCTAGAAGTTGAGGCTGCAGTGAGCCATGATTGTGCCACTGCTCTCCAGCCTGGGTGACAAATTGAGATTCCCATCTCATAAATAAATGGATAGATAGATAGATAGATATAGATAGATAAAGTGTCTAGAATTGAATGAACTTTTATTGAATGCCTACTCTGATGCTTGTTTACTTCTGAGTGTTATTGGAGTGATATAGATGAAGATAAGAACTATTTACTGCTTTCCTAAGTCCTCTATGGAAAGCTGTTAGTTTTGAGATCAAGTCACAAATCTGTAAGTAACTCGGGCATTTGAAGTAATGACAACAGGGGGTGTTATGCAGAGTAGGGTTGTGGTCCAGAGTAATGGACTATGTTATCTGACACTGTCACTAGGTTGACCAAGTTTCCCCATTTGCTAGGTACTGAACAGATTCCTGAAATGCAGAACTTTGAATTATAAACCAGGAAAGTCCTGGGAAAATAAAAATGAGACAGTCACCCTAATTTGTACTTTGAGTGAAATACACATATCACCTGACCTTAGTATCACATTTATGGGATGGAGATCTGGGGCCACCTTCATTAAATTGCTATGGAAAGTGAGTGTAAAAGCACTTTGATAAATATAGTGTAAGGACTAGAAGCCAGTTTTCCTGACCTCTGTCCAGTGTTTGCTAAAAGACTGTTGTATTCTATGTATAGAACCAGATTAAGAAATGTTCCCAAAGAAGAAAAGGTCACTAGTTTGACATGCCTTTATTGGGATTAAATACGTACACTGAGCTGTGAGGAAGAATAAAAAAGTACCACAAAGAGGTAAACATTGGGTGTGGCCACAGTTTTAGACTTCTCCCCTTTGTTATTTCCTTTTTAAATGAATATGGAAACCAGATGAGAAACAATAGCAGCATCAAGTTCTTGTGACATCCTGGGCACAACAGAATCTGTGCTGCGGTTTAGTTGAAGGATACCTCTTAGAGAAATTTCCATTTGTGAGTTCATGTAAAAATTCCCCTAGCAAACTGGTTCCACTCTGTTATAGTCGCATTCCTCAGGACTCTCAAAATATAGTTTCAGTTTTGCTTGTATTTTATTGGTGAGTAAATTTTAAATGGTTCCCTTTCCAGGAAGAGGTGGGGAAGGATGGCTTCATCAAAATATATCCCAGGTTGCTCCATAGATGCAGAGAGACCCAGTCACCAGTATCACAAGACAGCAGTGTTGCAATCACAGATTGCGAAATCACAGACCTCAGCTCTGCTCAAGGGCACAGCCCAGCCTTCCTTTCCTTTAACTCAAAGGAAAGCATCAGGAGGGCTGTTCCTCTGTGTCACTCGGTGGCAGAGATTCTCCTTCAGCATCTCCCTCACATGCTTTTTTGGTTTCTTACTGTAAATAGTTACTTAAAATTCTCTCTGAAGAAAACATGGTCAAGTTAGTAACTATAAAAACATTCTGGCCTAGTAAGAGGAGTCTGACATTTTTCAAATAATCTATCCCATTGTTCCCATAAATGCACAAACATTTCCAAGTTCCAGCGTTTCAGCGTGGAAAATTAATGCCTTGCAGACTCATATTCATTAATATACTACAAAAATCTTTTGCCAGGTTATGTGTCCCATGTGTGTGTTTGTGGGGGGTGTAATTTCTCTTTAGACATGGAAAACACAAAGAAATTAGTTTGGCATAAAAGAGGTTACAGCAGAAGGCTAGATTGAACAGAACTGAGAGGCTTCAGATTTTTAATTGAATACATCTGGTAAATGACATAATGTGATTGATATTTTAAGAGTTTTCTCAAAGAATGTTAGGTGCAGGATGATTTAGAGCAGTGATTTCTGGACTGCTTAGCAAAACTTCTTGGGGAGTTTTTAAAAGTACGGATGCCAGAGCTGAACCTCTTGGAACAGTTTACTCATGATCTCTAACCTAACTGGCCTCAATATGTGAAATATGATTATTATAAGTATCTGTCAACTGCCTTTAATAATATCTCATACCTTGATTATTGATATAAATCTTTTGCTTATATGTCATCTCAAGTTAATGAGTGCCATAAGCTGACAATTCACTGTTTGAAGTTTTATTTTGCCTGTATTTTTACTGATTATTTTAGTTTGCTATTATTCTTTAGAAACTGAGAGACTACTGAAGCAAAGTGGCTCATTGGTAGTCACAACATTTTTATGAAAAAATATTTTAAATGCAAGTATTCTGTTATTTAATTAGTAAAAGTATACTAAATAAAACTTGGAAAATTAAGTATGAAGCTGATTATTCATTGCCTCATCACAGAATCAAAATAGCTTTGGTGTTTGGTAGTATTTATCTTACAGTGTGTTTATCTCTAGGCCTTTGTGTATGTGTGTTTAGAAACTTGTAAGCCTCTTGCATATCCAAATCTATGTTCTGCTTTAAAAAAGATGTGGGGTACAATTCAGGATTAGGCATACAAGTGATATTGTACAGGTAAAGTGTGGGTCTCCCTTTGGTCCCCACTTTGCCTGGTTTGAGATCAGTTACCCTTATTGACGTTGTGTCTCCCCTACCCCCATCCTGGCAGTATCCCACTACTGCAAATCCCTTTCTTATAGTATTATGGTAAGTGTTCAGGGTCTGCTAATGAGTGAGAGCATGTGGTACTCTGTTCTTTATTTCTGTAACAGATCGCTGAGTATGATAGAACCTAAATTCATCCAAGTTGCTGCGAAGTTCATATGTTTGTCCTCCTTTATGGCTGCATAATATTCCATTATGTATATGTATGATATTTTTTTAATCCAGTCCAGCTTTGATGGGCAGCATGGTTAGTTCCATGTTTTTGCTATTGGAAATAGTGTTGCAATAAACATGTATGTGCAGGTGTCTTTTTTGTAGAATAATTTGAGTTTCTCTGGGTATATTCCCAGTAGGAGGACTGCTGGGTCATGTGACAGGTCAATGTCTAGTTCTTTTAAAAAACACCACACTATTTTTCAAAAAGGTTGCACTAGTTTGCATTTCCACCAGCAGTGTAGAAGCATTCCTTTTCCTCCACATCCTCACCAGCATCAGTTATTGTTTGCTTTATTAATGATGGCCATTCTTACTGGGATTAGGTGGTGTCTCAATGTAGTTTTGATTTCATTTCTCTGATAATTAAGGAGGCTGAGCACTTTTTTGTGTCTGTTGGCTGCCCGTATATCTTCTTTTGAGAAGTGTCTATTCATATCTTTAAGCTCACTTTTTTTTTTTTTGTAGCTGGAGTCTCACTTGGTCTCCCAGGCTGGAATGCAGTGGCACACTCACAGTCACCCCAGCATTGATTCACTAGGCTGAGGCAATCCTTCCTCCTCAGCCTTCCGAGTAGCCAGAACTACAGACACGTGCTACCATGCCCGGCTAATTTTTTTTTTTTATTGCGGAGATGAAGTCTCGCCAACTTGCCCAGGCTGGTCTCAAACTCATGGGTTCAGGCAATCCTCTCACCTCAGCCTCCCAAAGTGCTGGGATTACAGGCTAGAGCCACCGCACCCGCCTAGACCACTTTTTAAGAGGGTTATTTGGTTTTTTTCCTTTCAACACATCTGAGTTCCTTGTAGATCCTGGATGTTAGGCTTTGGTCAGATATACAGTTGGCAAATATTTTTTCCCATTCTGTGAGCTATTTCCCTGCTCTCTTGATGGTTTCTTTTGCTTTGCAGAAGCTTTTCAGTTTGATGAGGTCCCACTTGTCTCTCTTATCTCTTATGGCATAGGCACTTGGGTTTTTGATCACGAATTTGTTGCCAGTTCCAATTTCCATAAGGGTGTCTCCTGCATTTTCTAAAG